CACACATGACATAAGGCCTTGGGTACACTGGAGGCCAGGGGGTGCCCAGGAGGGGACATGTCTTCTCTGAGCCATCTAACTATCCTTTAATAATCGATCCACATAGACTGATCACTTTTCAGAGGGCACCTCAAATGTAAACAAGGTCTAAAAACTGCATGTGTTCCATATTGTTAGGTTTTCCGTGAAGATTAAATGACATGTTAGGAGCCATTCATGCAGTAATCCTAAGTAATCTTAGGTAATGATGAGTAGGCCACAGGAAATCCAAAACCTTGGTAATTCAGTATCATAGTCAAGGCTTAGTTTCACTTCCCAAGACAGATGCTTGCAGTCTGTTGACACTTACTGAACTGTTAGTCAAATCCTTTTGGACTCCATATTAAATAACTTGGAGACATTTTCTTAGGCTGCCTGCATGTTACAATTAGCAGACAGTGGTAGTTACGATAGAATGCTATTGACTGAGAAGCTGCATAAGGGATTATGGCATGACATATCCCGCTTACTGTGATGTCATTGATGTAACAAAGCATAAATGTCCTCTCTTATGTATTGCTAGCCACATAAACATGGCAGCCACAAAATCAACTATTTAGACATCTGAAAAACCCAAAGAATTGAACTGGTTTGCTGTGGAACATCCCAGTCTAGTATAATTGAATCAATCTGTTCACCATTCCTAATGGTCCATAAACCTTTCCTATTGTGGGAGTTTAACACATTTATATAGGATCACAATATATACCAGATTACCAGTGTGGAACCATTTTTCAACTTCACATGCTTGCCAAATGTATTTACCAAATGTATTAATTAAAGGATAAGTTCACCTTTTAACAAAAAAAATAATACATTTTTTTGCAGTTAAAAAAAATGTGTATTTATTATTTTTTGTTTCTGGGGCCTCTAAAGCATTGCACCAGCGATCAGAAGATCACTGGTGCCATGCAGGTCTCCTGCAGATCTTGTATCTGTGCGCATGTAATCTCGTATGGGCAAGCAGATACTTACTGAGAGGAAGACTTAATGAATTACCACAGCGTTCCACAGTGCCGTGGTAGTTCATTGTGAAAGACAAGCCGACAGCCACAATGGCTGTCAGAACTTGTATTTTTCTCATTCACAGAATACTGTGAAAGAGTGACGTAGCCAGGCAGGTGGAGCCTCGCACGTCCGCGGTTTTTTAAAATTGTGACAGCTAGCAGGGGGGAGAAGGTCCTCCGCTAGCTGTCACAACGGGGATGGGGGGGGGGGGTGCGGGGGCCAGTCAATTCGTAACATGTTACATCCTGAAAATGAGTGTAACATGTTATAAAAGGTGAAATTATCCTTTAAATGTACTGAGTTTTTGTCTGCATTACCACTATGCTATAGTCTGTAAATCCCTGGCTACAAAGGGTGTATATATTGAGTCAGACTTAGCATGTAGACAACTCTGGTTTGTCAAGTGATGTCTCTACATACAATGATCAACAGTTGGGAACTGTCACAATAATTCACATACAGTTTAACATGAACACAACTGTAAGTCCTCATGCACACTGGATGTTTTTACAGCTGCTGTTTTTGGCTTTTGATGTTTTTTCCTAGAGCCAGTAAACTCTCCAGCATGTTATCCTATGTGTCCATACACACATAGACTGTAATCAGCATTTTTTGGCAGGGGTGTTTGGTGTTGGAAAAAAACCCCAGAACTAGTGGTTTTCTAGAGGAGTTTTTTTAGCTGTAAAAATGCTCTAATGCTGAAAAACGCAGCAAAACATGATAAATCGTGGCAAACCAGCAGTTTTGGATAGTTTTTTTTTTTTAGCAAAAAATCCAGCTAAAAGCTGATAGAAAGCTAATGCAAAAATGCTGACTGTCATTAATGTGACTAATGACTTTACACAGCTAACATTACCGGCGTTATTAAAACACCTAGTGTGCATGGAGCCTTAGGCTGGCCATACATTATACAATTTTCTTATACAATTTTCTTTCATATTTACCAAAGCTATATAATATGAGGTCAAACCTAAACACTTTCAATTTGTATGCAATCAGACAGGGCCTCTTACTACATAGTGGAAGGTAAATCTAAAGGATATTGAATAAGAAAACTGCATAATGCATGGCCAGCCTTAAGACATAGGTAAAGCCATTAGCAGAACTGGTGCAGTACAAGTGAACGTGAATGCTCACATTTATGTACAATATGTAGTCCTCTGCACACAGTGGGTTAGTTTAATATTAAAAAAACAGAATTGCTCCCTGGTACTGCAGTATGCATGAAGTGATAGACAATGCTGGGAGCTTAGAAAATGTTATGTTTCCTTCTGCTTTTATTAAATCTACCATTATGCCAAAGTATATATTACTTACGTGCTGCCATACAGAGTTATTTGTGTATAGTCCATAGGGTGCTCCTGCTGGAACCAGACCTCTGCAGCCACTAGGGGGGTGCCAGAATGGATATCAAGGATAGGGAAGACAAACAGACACTGAGGCAGCTCTTCATACAGTTGGAATCAAAGCTCTAGTGCAAAAAGACATGGAAAGAAAGCACCTCTCAGTGTAGTATTGGCAGTTTATTAACATACAAAGATTAAATTCCACTTACAGGATGTCAAAACATGCCAGGCTCATCATAGTAAATTCGACCAATGTTCCTGGTGGTATGGGTTAAGGGCCATCCAAGGGCAGCATGACCCATAGAATGCAGAGATGTCTAAACTAAGATGGCTATAGAACCTCGTGAGGAGTCGTTAAATGCATACGTCGGAGGTGACGTAAGGTGGGGGTAGTAACGCGTTTCGGAGCATGTGCAAAGGGCTCCTTCATCAGACCTAAGCCCCGAAGACTCACCGGCAATTTTATATAAGCAAAGGAAGCAGGATAATGGGAGGGATGGGGCGGGTGGACAAGCAGTTTGCTCCTCTGTCTGACATCTATTACTTTTAATGCTATAAACTACTTAGTTATTAGGGAATTAAAAACAATTGTTTAAAAAATTAAAATTAAAATAAAGAAAAATAATTATTATTATACACAACTGTAAGCGTAACCCAATGAGATGGAGATATTAACATTAACTAATTGAGATAACCATGTATGTATGTAAATAGAGAGGTAGCATAAATAGATTAGATAACAGAAAATTAAATGATATAGGAGATATCAAAGTAAATGTAAATGAATGTAAAAAAATATGTAAAAGAATATCTAGAAGAATTTTTTACATTTTCTTTCATATCGCCTATATCATTTAATTTTCTGTTATCTGATCTATTTATGCCATCTCTCTATATATCTCCTGATAAGACAGACTGAATTGTATGCATTTTGCACATTCTCAGTTTGGAGAGGTTTTTTTTTTTTTCTTGGGAGAGTACATATGATCAGCACAGGGCCAATCAGGTCACACGGAGGTCAGGGGTTTTGCTTCCTCCTAGAGCAGAAAGAAAACACATCCTACAAGCTTTAGCTAGTGCTGGGCTGAACACTGATAGAAGCCACAAGACTGCTCTAACGTCTGATGAGAAAAGGTATTTAGCAGTTTATATTTACTAAAATAATTGTATTTTCATGTTATGTGTACTGTGGGAGACCAGATATAGTGGATGCAGGGTCCTGGGTTTAGTAACACTTTAAGCTTACTTTCCCTCACTATGACGGCTTCCTAACATCCTTATTGTATGGCCAGGAAAAGGAGCTGCTGTCCAGATTAAGCTTACATCTCCTTTCTATAACCACTTTGGATTGTTTCAGGCATGTAAAGCCCCGAAATTTGGTCTCTTAGAAACTCACCCAGAAAGTGAACAATTGGTGCTCTCCAAACATATTGGAATCACAAATACCTCAGTATAATCAGAGGTTTTACAAAGGAGACGTACTGCTGTTTTCTCCTATGTAAATCAAATCAATGTTTGAGGGGCTCTCCCTCTTTTCTCTGTACTAGCAACATGTTTAAGATCACAAGGCACATGCTTTCAAATTGTGGATCATGCACAGACTCCCATCTGTTTTGGTGTTTTTTATGCAAGTGCAATGATCCTTTTGGGAGGTTGCAGTTTGGAGACTCTGTATTGCTGTCCCTTCTCCTTGGTTACAAGTGGTATGTGCCCAGTCTTATACTGGGAAGTGGTGTCTTTCAAGATAATTTAACCACTAGCCTACAGGGCACTTATACCCCTTCCTGCCCAGGCCAATTTTCAGCTTTCAGCGCTGTCACATGCTACATTATCAGATATCAGGTATCCAAAGAAGGTGATGTTGAAAGGGGTACTCTGGTAGAATTTGTATGTAATAAATGAGAGAAAAAAGAAGACAATAACAGTGGGAACTACATGAAAGTGCACATTTAGTTCTATTTATTCAGTGGTATGGCTGTGAAGCTGTAAGCTCACAGAAAGTAGGTTGAACAATGCTGGGTGTCATTAACCCCTTGCCTACCAGGCACTTCTAGCCCCCTCCTGCCAAGGCCAGTTTATAGCTTTCAGCGCTGTCACACTTTGAATGACAATTGCGCGGTCATGCAACACTGTACCCATATGAAATTTTTATCATTTTTTTGTGACAAATAGAGCTTTATTTTGGTGGTATTTAATCACCTCTGGGTTTTTTATTTTTTCTTAAACCAAAAACCACTGAAAATTTTGAAAAAAAAATGTTTTTTCTTAGTTTTTGTTATAAAATTTTGTAAATAAGTGATTTTTCTCCTTCACTGATGTGCGCTAATGAGGCTGCACTGATGGGCACTGATAGGTGGCACTGATGGGCACTGATGAGGTGGCACTGGTAGGTGGCACTAATGGGCATTGACAGGCATCACTGATGGGCACTGAAAGGCAGCACTGATACATGGCACTTATATATGGCACTGATAGGCGGCACTGACTGGCACTGTTAAGCGGCACTGACTGGCACTGTTAGGTGGCACTGACAGGCACTGATAGGCGGCACTGATGCGCACTGATAAGCAGCACTGACTGACACTGGTAGGTGGCACTGATAGGTAGCACTGATTGGCAGCACTGATAGATGGCACTGATTGGCATTGATAGGTGGCACTAACTGGCACTGATGGGTGACATTGAAAAGCAGCTCAGATGGGCACTATGTGGCATTGATGTGCACTGGTAGGCACTGATATGTGGCACTGATGTGGCACTGATGGGCACTGGCACGAGGCACTGATGAGCACTGACATAAGGCACTGATGGACACTGACAGGTGGCACTTCTGGGGCTACACTGATCATCAGGGCACACTGATCATCAGTGCCCTGATGATCTGTGTACATGTCACCTCGCGGAAAGCTGATTACCGGCTCTCCTCTCCTCACGAGCTGTCAGTGTGACAGCTCGAGAGGAAAGAAACGCCGTTAACCGGCATTTCCCTGTTTACATGTGATCAGCTGTGATTGGACACAGCTGATCACATGACCGAGCCGATATCTTCAGCTCTTTCCGTGATTGGTGATCTGCTGTGTCCGAGGGACACAGTGCATCGCCGATCGCCATGCTGCGCACTCCCTGAGTCACGCATGTGCAGTGAGACTGGGAGGATGTCATATGACGTCCTCCCAGAACATGAGAGCCACCTTGCACCCGTCATATTACTATATGGCAGGCGGTAGGTGGTTAATAGCTAAACTTTTGTATTTGTTTTCAGCAGCCTAACTGACGGTATACCATCCTGAGCCTCCTATTCTATCTGGTGTCCAGCAAGGATTTACCACTAAAGTGAGTGTAGTAGCCTTCTAGTTATACTGCTAGGAAGGGGGTCTGCTGTGCTGGGGGAGAGGTTTATGGGAAGGCTGGAGGAGTATTTAAACTAGGATTGGCGGGGGAGGGATAATTAAATTATAACAGGGTAGACAGATCAGACAGGGGTCAGTACTTATTGATGGGTGGATGGAGAAAGATGGGAGAGGGCTATGGCAGATGATAAGAAGGTTCCCATGTTACAAACAACCAATGGAATTAGTACCATTTGTATGAAAAAAAAATGTAAAAATATTTGTGCACAAAGTGTCAATGCATTTAAATGTTTGTTCACCAATGCCAGAAGTCTTCCAAGAAAAATAGGTGAGTTGGAAGCTTTGGTACATGAACAGAACTATGATTTAATTGGTATTGCTGAATCTTGGCTTCATTCTTCACATGACTGGGCCATTATTATCCCTGGCTATGTTCTCTTTCGGAGAGACAGGGTAAATAGGAAAGGTGGTGGTGTCTGTCTCTATGTAAGAAGTGAGCTCAGAGCGAGTGTGAAAGAGGACCTAGTTGGTGGAGAGTGTGTGATGAGGCAGAAGCATTATAGGTGGAACAAACTGCACATGGGGGTGCGTACTACAAAGGTAATCATTGGAGTTTGTTATAGGCCTCTCAGTGTTAATGAGGAGGTGTAGGCTCAGCTCCTTGCACAGATCAAAAGGGCTGCAAGGGCTGGCACAGTGATAATAATGGGGGATTTTAACTACCCGGAACTTGACTGGAGTAATGGTACTGCAGGAACAGTTAAAGGGCAAAAATGTTTAAGCCTACTACAGGACAATTTATGGTACATTTCATAGGGGCCCCAACTAGGAATAATGCTCTGCTGGACCTGGTAATCTCAAACCATGCAGAGCTTATTACGAATGTCCATATAAAAGAACATCTGGGTAGCAGTGACCATAACATGATTGCATTTATTGTTAGCTGTAAACAGCAAGCACATACTGGAAAAATAAAAACACTCAATTTTAAGAGAGTTAATTTTCCAAGTCTGGGAGCTGCTCTCTAAGACACAGACTGGGAGGGAATATTGGGATCAATGAACACAACACAGAAATGGAAGTTCTTCAAAAAGACTGCATGTGAACACACTGCAAAAAATATATTCCCATGGGCAAGAAGTTTAAAAGGCTAAAAATCAAACCTATGTGGCTTACGTCCAAAGATGAAAAAGCTAAATTATTAAAGATAAAAATGAAGGAACACTATCATGGTTTAAACATTACAAAGAATATAACAGAATATGCAAAAAGAAAATAAAGACCACAAAAACTGAAAACGATTTACAGATTGCAAAAGATAGCAGGACCAACCCCCAAAAATTATTTAAATATATTAATAGTAAAAAGGTCCGGTCTGAGCATGTAGGCCCTTTACAAAATAATCTAGTGTGGGTGACTGGCGACAAAGAGAAGGCAAATTTATTAAATACCTTCTTCAGCTCTGTGTATACAAAGGAAAGGGGGGGGGGCTCTTGTCCATAATGGGCATGGCATTGACACAGCTCCACATTGGCTCACAATTGATATGATCCAAAAATATTTAGACAGAATAAAGGTGAATAAAGCACCTGGACCAGATGGCATACACCCACGAGTTCTTAAAGAATTGAGCTCTGTTAGTTCAAAGCCATTGTTTCTTTTAGGGACTCTTTAATGACTGGCATACTACCACTGGATTGGCATAAGACAAATGTGGTGCCAATATTTAAAAGGGGTCAAAATCTTTACCAAGTACTTATAGACCTGTTAGTTTAACTTCTATAGTTGAGATGATACTGGAGATTTTAATAAAAGACCTCATAGATGAGTTCTTGCTGGAAAAAACAGCATGGATTCATGGAAGACAGAACATGTCAAACAAATCTGATTTCTTTTTATGAGGAGGTGAGCAAAACCTTGGACAGGGGGGTGGCGGTGGACGTCGTATACTTGGATTTTCAAAAGTGTTTGACACAGTTCCCCACACACGGCTAATGTGTAAGGTAAAGTCTACAGGCTTGGAAAAATCCATATGTAAATGGATAAAAAAACTGGCTAAAAGATCATATTCAGAGAGTAGTGGTTAATGATTCATACTCTGAATGGTCTAGAGCTGTCAGTGGTGTACCCCAAGGTTCAGTGTTGGGACCCTTACTTTTTAATATATTTATAAACGATATAGGGTCTGGGATTAAAAATTCCATTTCAGTCTTTGCAGTTGACACCAAGCTGTGCAGTGGAATAATGTCATTACAGGATGTCTCCAACTTACAAGTCGACCTCAATGCAATGTATATGCATGCATCATACATACTAGGGGGGGTACAACTGGGGGAATCAATGGTGGAGAAGGATCTGGGAGTTCTGGTAGATCACAAGCTTAATAATGGCGAGCAATGCCAAGTTGCGGTTTATAAAGCGAGCTAAATCGTCTCTTGTATTAAAAGAGGTGAAGACTCCAGAGAGAGATATCATATTACCCCGGTACATATCATTAGTTAGACCTCATCTGTAATATGCGGTTCAATTTTTTGCACCAATTTACAAAAAGAACTTTGGGGAACTGGAGAAAGTACAGAGAAGGGCAACCAAACTGATAAGAGGCATAGAGGAGCTCAGCTATGAGGAAATATTAGAGGAACTGAATTTATTCTCTCTTAAGAAGAGGAGATTAACCACTTGCACTATTGAGGATTTACCCCCCTTAATGACCAGGCCTTTTTTTTGCTGTTTGGCGCTGCACTAATTCAACTGATAATTGCACAGTCATGCAATGCTGCACCCAAACAAAATTTACGTCCTTTTGTTCACACAAATAGAGCTTTCTTTTGGTGGTATTTTATCACCTGTGCGCTTTTTATTTTTTGCGCTATAAACAAAAAAAACACAAACATTTTGCAAAAAAAAAAAAAAAACAATATTTTCTACTTTCAGCTAGAAAAAATATATTGTAAACTCAAAGTTAGTCATAAATTTAAGCCAAAATGTATTCTGCTACATGGTTTTGGTAAAAAAAATCTCAATAAGTGTATATTGATTGCTTGTGTGAAAGTTATAGCGTCTACAAACTATGGTATAGATACTGTAATTTATGCCTTTTTTTGCTATACAGCGCTACATTAGTTTAACTGATAATTTTGCGGTCATGCAATGCTGTACATAAATGAAATTTTTGTCCTTTTTTTTCACATGAATAGAGCTTTCTTTTGGTGGTATTTGATCACCTGTGCGCTTTCTATTTTTTGCGCTATAAACAAAAAAAAAACACGAACATTTTGAAAAAAACTGTATATTTTAATTTTGGCTATAAAAAATATATAGTGAACTCAAAGTTAGTAATACATTTAGGCAAAAATGTATTCTGCTACTTGTCTTGGGTAAAAAAAATCCCAATAAGTGTATATTGATTGCTTTGTGTGAAAGTTATAGTGTCTACAAATTCTGGTATAGATACTGCAATTTATGCCATTTTTTGCAATACAGTGCTGCATTAGTTTAACTGACAATTGTGTGGTCATGTAATGCTGTACATAAATGAAATTTATGTCCTTTTTTTCCCACAAATAGAGTTTTCTTTCTGTGGTATTTGATCACCTCTGCACTTTTTATTTATTGTGCTATAAACAAAAAAAAAACACGAAAATGTTGAAAAAAACCCTGATATTTTCTACTTTCGGCTATAAAAAATATATTGTAAACTCAAAGTTAGTCATAAATTTAAGCTAAAATGTATTCTGCTACATGTTTTTGGTAAAAAAAATCCCAATAAGTGTATATTGATTGCTTTGTGCGAAAGTTATAGTGTCTACAAACTATGGTATAGATACTGTCATTTATGCCATTTTTTGCTATACAGCCATTTTGGCCACTAAATTTACAGGTACCTAGTACGACTCATGGGAAAAAGAGCGCCTGGCTGTCAGGGACTGCTTGAACTGCTACAAAAAATTTACCGACAAGTGCTAACAGAGATCAGGCCTGATTCTGTGAACACTGCGTTTTTGTGTGTAATGTATCAAGTGACAGTTATCTACTGACACTGCACTTGCTGGGGGGAGGGGGGGGGGTAAGTAAAGCGTAGGGGCTAAACGCAAGTGCTGGCAGGTGCCGGGGCTGATCCCGCTAACGCTGTGTTTTTGGGGATACTATAGTAATGTGAATGCTGGTATAGCACTGATCTGATCAAAGATATTGATCCAATCAGACACTATACTAGCAATGGAGGTTTAGCGTGCAAGTGAGCGTGTTCCTAGCAATCAGGGGGTCAAATGTGATTACTTGTGTACTAGCGGCAATCTGACGCTATCTGGGAGGGGCGTAAACTGGCGCTAACACTATCGGAAGTCGGCAGTGACACTAATACAGTGATCAGTAAAAATCTGATTACTATAATCAATGACACTGGTGTCAGGGCAGTGAAGGGGTTAACTGGGGGGGGGGATCAAGGGGTTAAATGGGATTACTGGTGTACTAGCGGGCAAACTGGTGCTATCTGGGAGGGGCGCTAATTGACGCTAACACTATGTGAAGTCGCCAGTGACAGTAATACAGTGATCAGTAAAAATCTGTTCACTGTAATCAATGACACTGGTGACAGGTCAGTGAAGGGGTTAACTGGGAGGGGGGGGCGATCAAGGGGTTAAATTGGATTACTGGTGCACTAGCGGGCAAACTGGCACTATCT